AAGAGTAGCTGGATGTACACCAAAACAACTGCAACCATTTCCCCATTTGCATCCATGCAACACCTTCTGTAGTTTAAAAATATAACCAAAGATTCCACCAAATGTACCATCAAATCAGCATCCTTTGCATCCTACTCAAGGAAAAAAGTCCAAAACCTGAAAACAAAGTTGGGACCTTGCTAGCAAAGTGATGAACGTTGCTGCAAAAATAAGCAGCACTAGTTGAAACATGTTGTGTAGAAACAAGCTCCCGTATACTGTGGGTTGGAATAGCTGCTCCAACTCAATCTGAAACCCATACTCTAAAATAGAACCCTTAGGCACACTATAAAAACAGAAGCCCTAAGCTACAAATAAAACCTTGAAAAACCCAATCTCAAGAGCCCTGAAATGGTGCAAGAGTAACCCAGCTTCATTGGATCCTCCCCTAATTTACTTAAGACAGAAAACAATAAAGCGAATACCAAGTACTTCCTTTTTCCTTTCCCCTTGAAAGCATAAAAGTAATTAGACAATAGGTTTGAAACGTTAACCAATTGAAGTATGTGACTCTTCAGCCGACTCCCCCGTTAGAAAATCTGCCACAAGCCTTTCATCAGCTTTGGAACAAGAAATGAAAGCTGGGTATTTAGAATCTTCAAATTGAACAAGGGTCACTTTTTCCATGCTTTTCACCGTCTCTCGAGTTGCTCTAATTGTCTTCCCCGACATATTTTGAAAAAGTCCCATTTTGAGTTGATCGAGTAGTGATGTCCTCGCCAAAGCCTCTAGAATCTGCGTCTTCACTGTCTTGAAGAGTGTTTCAAAATAGGCCTCAAAAGCTGGTTGAAATAACTTTTGGAGTTTCTTTTCTTCATCTTCATCTTCCTTAATCTCTTCTGGATCAGCTTTTTTCCCCTGTTCTGTGTGTTTAGGCACCGTAGAACGCTGCGTAACATCTTCTACCAGTAGATTTGAGGATATGGAAGCGAACCGCTGCTCATCCTCAATCCTCTCCACCTGGAACATCTGGTCTATCAAATCTAGGGAATCTGAAGCTTCTTCTTTCCTGGGAACCTTTACAGCATATTCATTCCCTTCTAGTATTTTTAAAGTTTCATTCAGTGCTTTTACGAAAAGCCTAATGCCTTCAGATTGCCGTCCAACTGGGATGCAAATATTAGCTCTCTCTCCTTCGGTTCCCGCGCTAATTCTAACGAAAGATCCAAAATGGTTTGAGTCCCAGTGGGACTTTGTCTTAACAAGCCCTTCAAATTTCGAAATTACCCAACCTTCTCTAGCCAAAGGTGGGTGGCTTAGGGACTCCGAAAGCCAAAGAGCAGTAGAACGCGAGACAGAAAGAAATCTAGACATACCATTCTTGGATTCGGAAATTATAAGGTTGTCTAAGGCCTGGAATTCAAATACCTTGCTTTCAATTGAAATTGAAACGCCGGAAAAGCTTCTAAAAGGACCTTGGTAACGAAAAGAGTTTGGTCTTCCAAACCTATACCTGGGCCGCCATCTGGTTCTGGTGTTCTTAGAAGCACCTCCCCAACCCATCGATTGTGTTCTACTCGTTGGAAATCTGCAATTCTTTTGCGGCGTACTCTGGAAACCATCATGCCTGAAGTGGTCGGCGTTGTTAGCGCTACACCGCCGGTGAAAAAGCTCCCTGCCCCCCCTTCTCTCTAGAAACCCCATGGGTTCACATATATATATATATATATATATATATATATATATATATATATATATATATATATATATATATCCTCTCTCTCTCTCTCTAGTCGAAGAAGAAGGAACGCCATCTCACTCTTCTCCCTGCTCGCTTTAGCCATGTCTCAGGAGGGAAAAGGTTTGCCACCTCAAAAAGGACCCAAGTATTAAAGAACTAGCCGAACAGATAGCAAAAGATCCTTCATTCACTCAGATGGCCCAGCAACTCCAAGGTACATTTCAAGGCGTTGCTGAAGATGGAATCCCTCAATTTGATCCTCAGGAATACTACTCCACTATGCAACAAGTTATGCAAAATCCACAGTTTATGACAATGGCTGAGCGGCTTGGTAACGCGCTGATGCAGGATCCTTCCATGTCCAGCATGCTTGATAGTTTGTCAAATCCTGCGCAAAAAGACCAACTTGAAGAACGAATGGCACTGGAATGACAAAGATGTCCTATTCTGGAAGAGATAGAACGTGGGGGTCCTGCTTTAATGATGAGGTACTGGAATGACAAAGATGTCCTACAGAAGTTGGGTGAAGCAATGGGGTTCTCTGTTACTGGAGAGACAAACACATCTGGTGAAAATGGTGCAGAAGAAACGGAAGAAGCAAGTGAAGATGATTCAATTATTCATATTTGTGTCGGCAATGGTGATGATGAGGGTTTGAGAAATGCACTTGCTGCTGGTGCTGATATAGATGAAGAAGATTCAGAAGGAAGGACAGCACTTCACTTTGCTTGTGGATATGGGGAGGTGAAGTGTGCTCAAATTCTTCTTGAAGCTGGGGCAAAGGTTGATGCTTTGGACAAGAACAAGAACACTGCTCTCCATTTTTATGCTGCCGGGTATGGCAGAAAGGAATGCGTTTCTCTTCTGCTAGAGAACGGTGCTGCTGTGACTTTTCAAAACATGGACGGTAAGACACCAATAGAGGTGGCGAAACTGAATAACCAGCAAGACGTTTTGAAGCTCCTCGAGAAGGATGCATTTCTATGAGAAGCTGCAAAAGCATTTCTAGTGCCAATATTGCACTGAGCTGTAATCAAACTATACTCTCATGTAAGAAATGCTTGGCACATGATATTTATATTGTGTGGTTTGAATATAATACCCTATGACTTAAATAAAAAAAGTGAACCGAGTTTGAGACAGGCTTTTGGATCGTGACGGGAGAGACGGGTGACCTGGAGGTATTGGCAACCCGACTCAGCAGCGGCAATCCCTTCCTTCATAACGGCGAGCTCTTCATCCTACAATCACTGGTATGTCTGGAGAGTGTCCAGCAACAACGACCATCATAGGCGAGACGTCCACCTCCGGTGTGGCTTTCAGCAGCAATGATGAGGCCAGAGACAACTGGTATAACTCCTCCTCTCACGGACGAACTCCAGTAATTCCTTCCGGCGATGCTATCTGGATCGACAGAAGACTAGACCAGTGAACGACAGAGAATAGCGACGAAGCAGAGGACCAATCCCAGATCTTATTTTGAGTGTGCAATGACTCTCTTACCCTTGGATCCTCTTCTATTCAAATTTTAGTATGTACCCTTTTTTGTCATTTTAACTCCCAATTTCCCGTACTCTATATATACTCTAAATTCATTTTGTTAGGGGAGTTCCCCATTTGTAGACAAGGGTTTATTTTCCTTCACCTTCTTCATCATCTTGTATTTTTAGTTTGGGAGTTCCATTACTTTTTTTTTGAAGTCGGAGTTCCATTACTTTAATTTCATCTTTTTAGATTATTCTACTTATTTTTGCATAGACTTTACCTCATCTCTTTCATGCTCTATTTATTCACTACTCTCTTATCATAATGCATCTCTTTAGATTTAGCATGCGAGACTTGATTTTTGATTTTCTAGCCTAGGTTAGGGATGGATTGTTGATTTATGTTTGTTGTCATTGGATTAGTATGGATTGTGCGATTTCTCCTTAGGGTTGTTTGTGGAGATTGACCTTATTGTTGCTAGGGTGTTGTCGTTGGCCACGATCGCATTCTTCTATTTTGGAATGGATTCTAAATCACCAAGGAATCAGGATTTAGAACCCTAGCTGTGAATCTCCCTCTCAAGTCCTACCATTAGGGGTGGGCACGAAATCCGTTCCCGTTGGACCGTTCCGAAAAATCCGGAATCCGTTTTGTAAATGTACCGAATAATTGGGACACAACTTTTTTATCCCGAACCCGTTCCGTCCCGTTATCAAATGGGACATGAGCGGGACAACTTAAATTTATACCGATCCGTCCCGTTTGTCCCGTTTTATCTATTTTATTAATATATAATTCTAATTCTATACACTTATTCTTTAATTAATTAAGTTAACTTCAAGTTTCAACCCAAAATTTATTAAATTTATTTGGCCCAATTGATTAACTACCATGATTCTCACTGATCATCTAAATGCTGATTTTTGGTTTTTGCTGGATGGCTACTACCTATTGCCTTTCTTTTTTTGCTGGATGGCTACTGCAATACTACCTACTGCTTTTGTTTTTTTGAATGACAGTAGCTAATTGCTTGGTGTATATGAACACAACTAGTTTTTAGATGTCTTAGGAAGTTAATGACTTTTATCTATGACATTTTGTGACTTTTGGATTGAGTACCCCCCTCTTATATTTGGGATTAGGACAAAGTAGGACGACCCGAATCCGTCCCGGTTTGTTCCGATCCCGAATTTTATGGGACAAACCGGGATAAGATTGTAATCCGAACCGTTTATATATAACGGGACAAGACCGGAACAACCTAAAATCCGGACCGTCCCGATCCGTGCCCACCCCTACCTACCATAGAAGTGGAGGATACTTGACGAGCTTGTCTATACCGTTTGTAGTTCTCTTGAGACTAGCACCACAAAAGTGGGTTCTTCTCTAGGGGATTCTTTCCCGATTCTCGTGGAAGTGAAATGAGTGTGATTTTCTTGCTTCCTTGTTGATTTCTCTCTTTCCTCTATTCCATTGGCAATAGCATTATTAGAAATTAGAATGAAATTCTTAATCTAAGCATGCTTTTCATTTAGTTCTTGCATTTTATTCTGTTGTTCATTTCATAGTCTAGTTTCATTCATTTGCATTTTATATCGTTCATCTCCTCTCTTTATTTGGCCTTGATTCACGTTTAACAATTTGAGATTAGTGTTTAGTTATACTCTGCACTCGATTCCTAACCAATAATGCTATCCACATGGATACGACATCCTTACTTCCACCACTCTGCTCACTCACTTTACTTTTTCCACATTTATCATATTTCATTTCCTTTCCATCTCTTTTTGGTCGGGAGTTTTCGGTATCAAACAACCTATTGAAATCACTCGCATCAAATTTAGCGCCATTGCCGGGGATATCAACGATTTTGAGTGCTTTGTGTTAACTAACATTTATTCAAGATTGTTAGTGGAGACTTGGTCATTCTTTTTTATTGTTTGTTCATTTTGGATTTTTTTCTTGTGTTCTTCTTCTTCTCCTTGTAGGTGTGCAACCATGGAGGATATTTATTCCATCATTGAAGAACTTCGTTTGGAGAATGAAGTTTATGCTCAAGGTCTCTCCCTTGTTCCCATTATTCTAAAGTTTGAGTGGTCACTTAGTGATCTAGAAGAAATTCCTATCCACACGACTATTTCTAAAGCTTCTCAAGCTTCCCTCCCTCAACCCAAGATTCCATACCCTTGTTCTTATCCAACATTCACACCTCCTCTACCCATAGACCCTCCAACCTCATCGTACCTAGAGGTGGCAATCGGATCAACCGGATCGGTTTCGGGTTGGATTTTTTCGGTTCGGGTATCTTTCGGTTATATGATATAATCGGTTCGGTTCGGTTCGGATCGGTTAAATTTCGGTTCGGATTTGATTTCGGTTCTATACATTTTTCGGTTCGGTTCGGTTTCGAGTCGGTTTAGATACGGTTCGGTTATAAATCGGTTCGGATAGATTTTAGTTCGGATACAATTTGAGTCGGATATATTTCGGTTTCGGGTCTAGTTCGGTTCGGATATATTTCGGTTTCGGATCAAATATATTTTGGATATATATTATTATCTAATTAAAATTTAACTATCCGTGTTTCTTTTTATGTTTTATCACATTTATCAATCTATCATCAATTCAATACCTCATATTATTTTATATTTTTTTCTATTTATATTATCTCTACCCTAAATAATCTTCCCTTTTTGACTTTTTAGTCATATTTTACAAATTTGGACCACAAATTATGAAAACATATATATTTAATTATGATATAAATTTAATATAATTAAATTGATTTTAAAATTTAGTTTTGAAATATCAAATTTTTCTCACATCTACTATTATACTTATGTATATAAATGAAAGGATAAAAGATAAATTCGAATAGTCTTATGTTCCATTTGAATATAATTTGGTAAAAATTGAGTAAAATTGGGTGAAATTTAGTGAATTTTATTCAATTGAGTGCAAAATTTGTAAATTATTGAGTATATTTGGTTGAAAGTAGAGAAAATTAAATTTAATAGAGTCAAATATAATTAATTTTATACCTAAATGTAATGGTGTAGATCAAATTTGAAAATGATAACAGTAAAGGCTGCCGCTAGAGAGTCTTTTCAAAATGCTAACACTAGCATCTAATTTTATTAACTAATATTGAGTGAATTGGTTTGAAACTAATCAAATTAACTCTCAAATCAATAAAATTTATTGTAATGAGATGAAATTAGGATAAAATTTAGTTATTCCATACAATTCATCATATATTTCTTTCATCCCAAAAAGAATATCATACTTCACTATTTAAAAATTACGAAAATTTTATTTGTTTGTGCATTATCATTTATATGTATAAC